TTTTAAATTATATAGCAACAAATATATTTTACGAAACTGATAATACTGGTCAACAACATTTTTGCCCAAGAGACCTTACATTACACTGGTTTATCAAAAATTACTTTTATTTGTCCCAAAAGAAACAGCATCTTATCTGAATTTAAATATTTGTGATTATTCCAAATATACCTTTTTTTCTATCACGCAAGATTATTGAGATACACCTACTTGAAATTTGGAAATGTTTTTAATATAATGAAAAAAACTACTGGTAATATAAACATCATTGCAATATACTAAATCATTCTCTTGTGAAAAGAAGTCTTGAAATTCATCTTGACGCTTGCGAAAAAAAATCATACTTTTGTTCCTTTATGCAGCAGATTCCAGCCTTTTAACCTAGAGCCTAAAGGTTCACTCTGTTTTTTGGATAAATCGAAATCACGTACGAGGTCGTTCAAATCTCCTTGGGTTAACAAATGAAGTTCAGATGAAGCACCTGCTTTAAAATTTGAGTCATCCGACTGTTGCTCTCGTCTATCTGAATAATCGTCACTAAATATTACATTTTCAGGAGGCTGTGGCACGGGTAAAATATCACTATGAGGAATCGGTCTCATAGCAGAAGGCAAATCTGGATATTCAACTGTATGTCTTGATTTGGATGTAAAACCTGTAGTCTTTGTCAAACAAAAATAACAGTCTGAAGAATGGTCTTTAAGTTCCCTCCATATCATTGGAACCGCAAAAGGCATAAGACGTCGAGCACAAATTTCACAACAATGATGAGGAGCCCAAGTCTTGGTCGCAGACTTTACAGCCAAAATAAATTTGATAGCACTTTTTAATGAGCGGTGTAAAGTTTCGCCTTTGAACTTTGAAAGTTAATTCCCCACAAATGTAACAGAAAATATCAGGAATATTAATGCAACGCCTCGGAATATTGACAGTCTAGTGCACACGATTTATAAAAGTAAATCGATAGAGAAGAATAAACCGATCACTTCAAATTTACCTGTCACTTCTGATGCAAATCTATTAAACAAATTGTTAGGTTTAATTTAAATATATATGTAATATTGTTGCAAATGTCGTATGGATAAGTTGGCAGTCGTGTACGTGAGGCGAGTGTTGATGTTGTAACAATTATAAATTCTGACCGACTTACCCAGGATCTCTCCAAATGAAATTTGCCCTACGAATAATGCTTGAAATGAAACACTTCATTATTCAATTTAAAATAATAAAAATTCTATATTTATATTTTAGAAGGCCCCTTTTAGAGTAATATTATTAGAATGCATTATCAACAAAATAATTTAGTAAATTAGCATAAGGTTTTATGACCCCAAAAAGCCAAGTTATTCTGGTATTAGGCTATTTTCAAATTATGGGTTTGATTCCTTCCATATTAAAATTTCATGTTCTTTAATAAATAAAGTGATTGGGTTGAATACTGAATAGGCTTACAATAGCCAATAGTTCAAACTGTATTTAGAATTAATTTTGTTATTATTATTATTATTAATAATTAATGTCTTCGCTGCTCTCTTTCAACGAATTTTCGCTCTCGCTCATAAACTACTACGTTGGAATCGTGGAGTTTAGTGAGCGAGAACTAGAAATGTTGGACCAAAAGGTGAGAACAACGCTGAGCAAATTCAAAATCCATCTTAAACCAGCAAATAACGAAAGATTATATCTTCAACGCGAAGAAATGGAAAGAGGATTGGTGAACTTGGTACAAAAAAATGAAAAAATTCTGCTAAGCCTCTACAACAAGCATGTCAAACTCGCGGCCCGCGGGCCTCATGCGGCCCACAACGAATAAATTTGCGGCCCACCAGATAATATATTTTAATAAAAAAAAATTATAAATTAAAAAAATAATAATAAAAATTTGTAGCCTAATTTTTGAAAATTGTAATTATACATAATTTATTTATTAATAACGAACCACTGGTCGTGGTACGTAAGTCGTAAGTTTTGATAATATTATACCTACATACATAACGTATGTACATCGCCATAAGTATTGTGTGCCTTAAAGTTCAAAGAAAATATTCTTTCGGAGTACTAGAAAAAAAAATTGTGCAGTTATTCTGTGTCTGGTAAGTTAAAAAATATTAATTAAAAAAAAATTAAAATATTAATTAAAACGTTTTATTATTTTGTGTTAGCGATTACTAATTTTTTTCAGACCTTTGTATTCAATATGTCTTCATCAAAACCAAGTGGCAGTAAAACTAAACGAAAAATTGCTGACGAACATAGGAATTTTCAAGAAAAGTGGGAATTAGAGTATTTTTACTCTAAAGTAAAATATAAATTCATCTGCTTGATATGTAATAATGCTATTAGTGTGTACCAAAATTATATAACATTAAACGTCATTATGAACAACATAAATCAAAATATGATACCTACGAAGGTTAAATAAGACAAGAAAAGTTAAAAGAGTTCAAGTTGGGAATGAAAAAACAACAGTTTATTTTTACTAAAGTATCACAAGAGAGTGAAGCGGCGGTGCATGCAAGCTACGTTTTATCGGAGATGATAGCTAAACACTCAAAACCTTTTACTGAAGGTGATTTCATCAAGGAATGTTTAATTAAAGCTGCAGAAATTGTTTGTCCTGGAAGTGTGAAGACGTTTCAAGCAATATCTTTGTCTCGAAATACCGTTGTGGAAAGAGTTACTGATATGGCCAGAAATTTAAATGATCAGATAAAAGAAAAATCATCTTGTTTCGAAGCATTTTCCATTGCCTGTGATGAGAGTACGGACATTGGGGGCGTAGCTCAGTTAGCTGTTTTTTTTCGAGCTTGCGACACGGATTTCAACATTTTTGAGGAATTATTGGAACTAGTACCGATGCATGGCACTACTACAGGAGAAGATATATTTAATTGCGTTTATGATCTTCTGCAAAAATACAATTTACCTCAATCAAAATTGACTTCTGTAGCAACAGATGGAGCTCCTTCAATGACTGGAAAAACCAACGGTTTCATAGCATTACTGCGAAAAAAACTAAGTGAAATTTCTGATGGTTCCAATATTCATCATACGCACAGCATTATACATCAGGAAGTATTATGTACGAAAGTAATAAAAATGGAAAATGTGTTGACACCTATAAAAAACTTCATCAATTTCATAAGATCTCGAGGTTTAAATCAGCGACAGTTCTCTCTGTTCTTAACTGAATTAGAAAGCGAATATTTAGGTTTATCATACTCTACCGAGGTACGTTTGCTATCATGCTCCAAGGTTCTCAAACAATTTTGGGACTTGAAAGAAGAAATATGTCAGTTTTTAATAACCAAGAATCAAGACATCACTTTGTTTTCTGATCAAATATGGTTGCAAGATTTTTCCTTCATGGTTGACATAACAAAACACTTGTCGGATTTAAATTTGAAACTGCAAGGAAAGGATCAGATCATTACCAACATGTGTGACCAAGTTAATGCATTCAAATGTAAGCTAGTTCTTTGGAAAGCAGTTGAAAAACTAAGATTTAATGCACTTTCCGACATGCAACATGTACAAATCAAGTTTAGGTGAAACTGCATCGTATCAAAAATATGCGGAAAATATTTTAAGTCTTAGAAATTAATTTGAAACAAGGTTTTCTGATTTCAAATCTTTGGAAGGCAAGTTTACTTTGTTTTCTTCGATTTTCTCGATAAATATAGAATCAGTTCCTAATCATATGCAAATGGAGGTAATAGATATCCAGTGCGATTCAGATTTAAAGGCAAATTTCATCGAAGTTGGTGTTTCTGAATTTTACAAATATTTGCCAGCCAAATTTGAAAACACTCGAAAATTAGCATATGAAATTATGTCCATGTTTGGAAGTACTTATCGGTGCGAGTAGTTATTTTCACTTATGAAAGGAAATAAGTCTCCAATCAGATCGAGAATTACTGACGTTCACCTTGGGTTAGTTTTAAAATTAACAACTGCGAACAAGATTTCCCCCGAAGTAGGAAAGATGGTAGCAGAAAAGAGATGCCAAATATTAGGGAGAAAATATTAACTTTAATTTCTTTTTTCTTATTAGTATTTATTAAAATAAACCTACATAAATGTTACTATAAAAATTTAATTACTTGTTTTCTTTTTTTGCGGCCCAAATAATCTTATTACTTTTTATTTGGACCGTGTTAGGATTTGAGTTTGACATGCTCGATCTACAACATATATATTAAGAGAATAGTTAAAATGATGATTTTGTAATGTAGAAAATTAGGAAAGACAAAATTCAGGATGACACGGCAATTTATTTGAGACAAGAATAATGATACAATTCCAAGGCAAGATACTATTCCTTTAACTTCCAATTACCGAGGGAACCAATTAATATTGATTTTATTCAACTTATCGAGTATTTTTCAAGGGACCGGGAAAAAATGTTCACTTTAATCGAGAGATTCAAATTTACGAGTTTCAAATTATCAAAATATATCTAATATTTTTTTATAAGTTTATTATCTTAAAGATTATTTATCAAAAGTAATATACCTATTAATTGCGCACAAGTCAAAGTTAGTTTAATTATTTATCTACAACATATATATTGGGAGAATAGATAAAATTATGATTTTTTAATGTAGAAAATTAGGAAAGACAAAATTCAGGATGACACGGCAATTTATTTGAGACAAGAATAATGATACAATTCCAAGGCAAAGATACTATTCCTTTAACTTTCAATTACCGAGGGAACCAATTAATAATGATTTTATTCAACTTATCGAGTATTTTTCAAGGGACCGGGAAAAAAGTTCACTTTATCGAGAGATTAAAATTTACGAGTTTCAAATTATCAAAATAATTTCTATTATTTTTTTTATAAGTTTACTAGCCGAATGACCCGGAAACGCCCGGGGTTTACCCGATTAAATGCTATTATTCAAATACTATTCGTTAGAATTATAAATTGGCGCCGTGGGTGTCATTCTTGTATAATATATAAATGAGTTTTAAAAATTGTAAAAAAAAAAAAATGCGTCGGCCGTAATCGAACCCGGGCCGCCCGTGTGGCATGCGAGCATTCTACCACTGAACCACCGATGGTTATGAGAAATGGCCATATTTGGGTAATTATTCCATTCACAAAAGCAAACGGTGACAGAATTGAAAGAAAGGGCAATGCCCGGGTTTTACCCAATTAAATGCTTTTATTTAAATACTATTCGTTACAATTATAAATTGGCGCCATGGATGTCATTCTTGTGAAACGTCCCGCTCCAAACTTTGTGTCTGAGAAGCGATATTTTTATAAAGAGATGATCTGGCTTTGTGTCTTCTGCTCGAATTAATGTTTTTCTGTTAGAATTTTGTTCCTGCATACTAAAAATGAACTGCGATATTTTTATAAAGAGATGATCTGGCTTTGTGTCTTCTGCTCGAATTAATGTTTTTCTGTTAGAATTTTGTTCCTGCATACTAAAAATGAACTGGCTTCACTCGTGGTCTCTGCTTTTTGGGATTTTTCCTGATATAATTTTGTATCTGATAATCAAATATGATACAGCAATATATTGTCATCATAATATTCTGAATAAAAAACAACTACTTTTTCCCAGAACCTGTCAATTTATTTTTCTTGACTAAAAATCCGAAAAATATATTTTCCAGATTTTTCTCTATGTCCTGTTAAAACACGTTTTACATGTCCATTAGGTCAGCTGATATTACCTCCCATCTTCTACGTTAGAGGCGCTGCTTGCGAGCGAAAGCGCAAATTTGCCACGCAATTTGCAAATAACTTGTATACATACTTGTATACTTGTGTACATAGACCATAAATCTGTACATAGACAGGAAAAGCACATATATTTTAATAATATAAATGAGTTTTTAAAATTGTAAAAAAAAAAGGATCGGCCGGGAATAGAACCTGGGGCGCCCGCGTGGCAGGCGAGCATTCTATCACTGAACCAAAAGCAAACGTGACAGAATTAAGAAAGAATGCATGACGCTGATAACTGTATATATTAATAGAGAATTGTTTTAACAAATGTTCGTTAGACAAACCATTACTCGGGTAAAACCCGGGCGAAGCCGGGTACATCCGTTAGTAAGTAATATTAGTTGGAAAATATTTATTACATATTTTCAAAAATATCTATATATATAAAAATGAATGTATGTGTGTGTGTGTGTGTGTGTGTGTGTGGTCTGTTTTTCCTTTATGCCTGACCAAATCACTCATTGGAACGCCATGAAACTTTGGGAAGTTATTTAGTATAGTACTGGGAAGGTTTCTAGCAAATAAAATTTTTGAAATAACTTTTCGCTTTAAAATAATCAAGATAAATATTCTAATTTATCTGTTATAATTCAACAATCTGCTCTAAATATTATCATGATGATACGATGATTTTGTAATGTAGAAAATTAGGAAAGACAAAATTCAGGATGACACAGCAATTTATTTGAGACAAGAATAATGATACAATTCAAAGGCAAGATACTATTCCTTTAACTTCCAATTACCGAGGGAACCAATTAATATTGATTTTATTCAACTTATTGAGTATTTTTCAAGGGACCGGGGAAAAAATGTTCACTTTATCGAGACATTCGTTAAACAAACCTGTTCCAGCCTTACATATGCAAAATTGTTGAAATTTACTTTTGTAATTATTGTTAAATTATGTAAATTTTAGACATGTATATAATCTTGATTTTTAGAAAATAAAAGCAGTTATTAAGGCATACGTAGTTGAATCATTAGTGTTGGTGAGACGAGACATTAGCAATCATGCAAGTTTAAATGAGTTATAGTTAGCTCGCTGAGTTAAGAAGCTTACAATTAAAACCAGCGTTTTAATAAGAATTAGGCGGTGATTCCTCCTTAGTGCCAGGAGGCCAAAGCTAATTCAATTCATGGTCCCTCGAGAGCCTGATTAGGATTTGAAACAGAAGAAATTTAGGCGGAAACTCAGTGAGAATACAAGTGCAAAATGTCTCGAGACGAAAGGATCCTCCAAAGAAAGTTAAGTTGCCAAATAAGGAGAATTGATGGATTTATTGAAAGTGTGGATTCAATTATTGAAGCAGGTGAAACAATACGCTTAGAAATAATGGGTGAAGAATTAAAGGAGATCAAAGAGAAAATTGAGACACTCTACGACGAGCTGTTTTCTTTGGATGAAGTTGATATAGATAAAGAAAGTGAGGCATATGATGGTTCAATGAACAAGATTGGAAGCTTGAGGGTAAAAATAGAAAATGAGAGAAAACTCAAAGACAAACTGGCGGACATAAAGCCAAATGGCTCTCAGGCAAATATAAAATTGCCTCAATTTGACTTACCGATATATGATGGAGATATGGGCAAGTGGATCAACTTCAAAGAGCTATTCCTCACCACCATCGATGCACATCCAGGGTTAACTAATATACAGAAGTTACAATATTTGAATTCTGCAGTAAAAGGCGAAGCGGCCAGATTAATAAGGGGTTTCCCTTTACTAAGTGAAAATTATGGCCAAGCATGGAGTACACTGTTATCAAGATATGATAACCCGAGAGAGCTAGCTTATGCCCAGGTGTCAAAAATCTTTTCTCTCCGGGCAATTAAGAATCCATCGGCTAAGTGTCTCCATGAATTCATGGATGTTTGTAATGAAGCCATAAGAAACTTAGAAACGCTGGAATTGAAGAGAAATCAATTAGTGGATGTGATCCTGGTGCACTTCCTCCAGCAGAAGTTGAGTGAAAATCTAAGGTTGGATTGGGAACTGTCAATGGACAATACTCTTCCATCTTATGACAAGTTCATAGCATTCATTTCCAGACATGCGAGAAGCATGTCTTGTGCTGTCAAGGAATGTTCAAAAAGGGAAGAAACCACTGGATCGAGATTTCCCAAATGCCAAAGCTACGGGATGCTAATTGAGAAATCGGACACTTGCATATTATGCAAATCTGGGCATCATCCACTATACATGTGCAACTTATTTTGCAAAATGCCTTTAAAAGAAAAATTAAATGTAGTAAAAGGTCATAAATTGTGCTTCAATTGCTTGAGGAAAGGCCATTTTTCATGGAATTGTAGGCTGAACCAACGATGCAAAGTATGCAAGGGCAAGCACCACACAATGATTCATTATGATAAACCGAGCACGGAAGGCGCTTCGGCCCAAGTGGAGAACACAACTCCGAAGGAACATGAAAGTGCTATCAATTTGACTAATACTCAACAGGCAAACTGCAATGATAGCCACGTACTACTCGCAACAGCTAGAATCAAGATAAAAAATGGACTCGGAAAGTTATGCACCTGCAGAGCCCTACTGGACAGCGGTTCCCAAGTCACCATGATAACAAAAGGATGCTGCGAAAGATTGGGACTTGTCCAAAGGAAATCAGATCGGATGATTATAGGGGTTGGAAACACACCAGTGCAGCATTCTTCATCGACAGTAGGTGTGACATTTTGTCCACTGAATAATTCTGAGGAATTCTCGGTAGAGGCAGTAGTCACGGGAGTGCTCACTTCAGAAATTCCGAACTTCAGGTTGAAAGACCCTAATTGGCCAACTTTGAAGAACCTCAAATTGGCAGACCCAGAGTTCTACATACAAGCCCCAATAGATATGATATTGGGAGCAGATATATACACTGAACTTATGTTGAATGGCTCTATATCTATCGGAGAAGGATTGCCAATGGCTATTAATACAAGACTAGGTTGGGTACTTCTAGGAAAACTCATGGGAACATCGGAGAGTAATACAGAAGTCTGTAACCTGAGTTTACAATCTGAACCAGAACTAGAATTCGTAATGAAAAGATTCTGGGAAATTGAATCTGTGCCGTCACCGGATCTTTGTACACAGGACGAAGATTGTGAAAGGTTATTTTCGAATAACCATGGCAGAGATAGCCATGGAAGGTATTGGGTAAAATTGCCATTCAGACAACATCGACCACTTCTGGGTGAATCAAGAGAAAAAGCTTTAAGAAGGTTCCTTTCGTTGGAAGGAAAATTGTGTAAGAATGTGAAATTATATGACCAATACCGGGGATTCATGAAGGAATATGAACACTTAAACCACATGGAAAGGGTCCCAATTTCAGAAGTGAAGCGAGAATTGTGCAGATGCTATTACATGCCTCATCATCCAGTGATTAGAGAGCAATCCACTACAACAAAAATGAGAGTTGTGTTTGATGCATCAGCTAAATCTGAAAATAATGTTTCTTTAAATCAATTTTTGCACAAGGGACCAAAAATCCAACAGGATGTATTTTTCATTCTCCTCAGATTCAGAACGTATCCTGTCGCCATAACTGCTGATATAGAAAAGATGTACCGCCAGATAAGAATTCATCCAGAAGATGCGGACTATCAGAGGATATTGTGGAGACCATCGCCAGAAGAGCCTGTGGTGGACTATCGACTACTGACTGTTACCTATGGTACAACTTCGGCTCCATTTTTGGCAATGAGAACATTACAACAGTTAGCAGAAGATGAAGGCCAAAATTATCCTGAAGCTTCTAGGGTGACCTTGAATGATTTCTATGTCGATGATCTGCTAACAGGAGCTCAAACGATTGCTGAAGCCAAAGAACTAATAGACCAATTAAAGGACTTAATGAAAAAGGGAGGGTTTCACTTAAGAAAGTGGAATTCAAATTGCCACGAGATAGTGTCTCATGTCGAGGAAATAAACGAGGAGAGGAAAATTAACTTGGAGAAAGGAGCCATATCCAAGATTTTAGGAATTGTATGGGATCATGTACAAGATACGTTTAGAGTTAATATAACTCTTCCTGAAGAAGTTGTTACCAAAAGAGATCTTCTCTCCAATATTGCGAGGATTTTCGATCCACTTGGTTTCCTCTCACCTACTACAGTGGCTTTGAAAATAATAATGCAGGAGTTATGGAGAAGTGGAACAGGCTGGGATGAGCATATTCCGAACGAAATCAAGGAAAGGTGGAATAATTTTAGAGCCGAATTACTAAAATTAGGGGAGTTGGGTATCCCAAGATACGTATGGGCATGTGAAGGGGATCGAGATGTTCAGCTCCACGGATTTTGTGACGCGTCAAGT